GCGCACAATGAAAAAAATGCTTTCACAGAGGATGGTACACCACAGTGATTAAAATATATTTTCAGACTAAAGTCGTAGTACTTTATTGGAATGCTGTAGTATATTTTTCACTAATTTAGCCATATTTTCCTTCCAAAATAAATGTTATAATATACCAGGTAGCGTCTCAAAAGTGGCTCACCTCTATAACTTTTTTATTTTTTCAGATAAAAAACGAGATTTGGCATGTTAGTATATAACATAAATTAGGGTTGATTGACATAGTCAATTCTTTGGATTTTTAAATGGCATCCTCGGAATTTTTTTACTATTCGATAGAAAATGATATTTTGAATAAAATGACATATCATATGTCAACTTTTGACATTTTCGCTTAAAATAAAACTGAATTTTAAATTTCAATCTAGAGTGCCATGGCTGTTAAAAACACTATTTTTTAATCAAGGAACCTTGGAAAAATAGATTTTATCGTCTAATATTTTTCGTGTCTTGTTCTGGCCGGTTATAATATGACCAAATCGTATTTTTAATCATATCTCAATTTTTTCAAATGGAACAAGCGTGGCTCATTAGCATATTTGGAAAAAGCATTTGTTGCGAATAATTTGGTAACACACACTAGGTATTTCAAGTCAAATTGTCATTATGAATCACATGTTGCAATTTCATGTCATTCTATTACGAGTGTCATTTTCTATCGAATAAGTAACAAAATACCGATGGTGCACGTTAAAAATCGAAAGTTGTAGTCATTTCCGATGAAAGAGGAAGTGACCGAAAACAATTGAATACGTCAATCAATCCTAATTTATGTCATATACTAATATACCAAATCTCGAGTTTTTATCTGAAAAAATAAAAAGTTATAGGAGTGAGCCACTTTTGAGACGCAACCGGTATATTGAGTGGTTCTTGACCATTTTTAGATTTAATTATCACACAATTAAACTCTGAATCTCTCTCTAAAGTCGCAGAATATTAACCAAAAATAGTCTAAATTACTTGGTATATACAGGGGAGGTCAAAACTACATATATTTTTTCTCCTCGTTTAAACAGAAAACCCCGTATTTATATGAAAGAAACATCATCATATCCATAACAAATGCTAATTTTCACTAACCCGCCAATATATTCATAAGCATATAATTTTAATTCAGAATTAACTTCAGAAAAGTTCCCTGCATTGAATAAAAATACCTCTATAATAAACAACTAAAATAATTACAATACCGATTATTTCAACAAAAACAAAACATATTCGAGACTCCTATAATTCTACATTATCTACTAACAGGTATTACTAACCAGTTGCATAAGAGGGAACAGCGTAATTACTAATAATTTTGTAAATCATCGGGTATCGGAACGTACTTATCAGACTATCTGATAAATAGCATTAGTGCATTATCATTAGGTATTCCAAAATCCTATATTGCAGTTCTGTTACATAAATAACAGAAACAAAAATATCCTCCAGTTTTTTTTTATCACAACATAAAAATCTAAAGAAATGGAGATAAAAATTAGCTTAAAAGTTAGGATTAAGTATGTCAAATAACAAAAATTTGTTTTGTTAGAAAAAATAGATTTTGATCTTCAAGTTAATTAAGAAAGATAAAAGCAACTAAAACAAAAATTTAAAATTAAAATATATAAATCCATTTTTAAATTAAGAATGTAGAATGAGTGGGAGGTGGGTTAATCACAACTACCTTTAAGATCATGATGACTTACTAACTCGATGTCCGTACCTACATTGGAGTTCTGGCAAAACTGGTGATAGGTAACTATAATGTTTGCGTCCCGGTGTTAGACGTGATTTTTTCTCTCCTTGCCGGAGCAGAGGTCAGAGGTTTTCGCTCTCTCTCAAGCACTTTGATGGAGATACGCCAAGCCGTTTCTTTATTCCTTTTTCTAGGAGTATTTTCGCTTTTGCTTCCTCTGGAGCAAATCCTTCGTGGAGCAGTCGGAGGTATTGCCGTTCCCTGCTCCGCTGATATCTACTCTCAACGGGTTGTCTAGTCCAGCTGGCTGATCCAGTCTGGGTAGAGGAAACGATAGCTTGTGTATCCTGCTATAGATCTAGAGGTAAGCTCCCGACCCTTACTAGAAGAGGTGGCAGCTTGTGTGCCAGTTGTGGAGGCTGGTCTCGCGTAAGTCCCTTGGAACTTGCACTGTTAATGTTCTCAATGTTGTTAAGGGGTTTTCATCCAGCATCATCGCAAGTTGCAAGGGTTAGTCGGTCCACTTCTACAGAGCCCTGCATGTAGAAGTAAGGAAGACAAGAATACATTGTGGTGTCCCCTGGTACCTCGAGATTCAGACCAGTAGAGATTAGTCTTCTATCTAGCCACACATCCCTTTGTTCTGGTCTCGCCATCGTGAGGTTTAAGTTTTTGGTGAGATTCTGTCTTCTCCTTAAGCCAAGACCCTCCCCCCACACACACACCCTCTGATCGTGATGTGATACATAAGCACAGCACAACACAGGATGTGTAGTATAATAAAATTGGCTTAACGAATACTTAATGAATTTTCAATGTATTGGTTAAGCCAATTTTTAATATAGTTTTTAGAGAAGGTTTTTTACCACATTGATGTCGTGAGGATGGAATAAATAAATGACAAAAGCTTGGCTATTAACAAAGTGTATTAATTCAGTCCAAACCTTCCGACTGCAACCCCACTAGTTCCTAGATTTTCTAAAATATTTACTATATTTAAAAGTTATGAGCATCAGGGTCGGACTGGCTGTAGAGTCTGGGTGGCATGCTTATGCCAATCCGGCCCCAACCTCCGCCCCCCCCCCCTAGCGTATGATCTACATGTAGAATAGCATTTATTCCTAAATATAAATGGAACAGAATAAAGTGACGGTAATATTCTGAAGCTATCTCTGATTTGTTTTATGATTAACAATATTTACTAAGTAATAATTGTGTCGTGGCATTCGATGTCATTTTTATAGTATAATAATGTCCCCTTCACAATATTGCCCCATCAACAAAATTAAGAAAATTGAAAGAAATTTTAATATGGTTATAAATCACCTATTCAGTGACAGTGAGTTATTCTCTTCTTATTTATACGGTAAGTCCATGACCTATATAATGGGTAATATTTAATTTTATATGAGATCGTAATGGCTAGTTGTCTTGACATCTCTTTGTCATTCTTTATTAAATATAGCGTAAAAAACTCATAGGAAAGGAAGAGGAAAAAACTAGGCTTAAGTGACGACGACCAGAAGCACAATCACCACAATTTTCTAAATTTGGTTGCCATATACTGAAGTAAGATACAGTTCTAAAGATACAAATACACGAGACAATTACTGAAAGCAAAAAAAGAATAAATCAAAGGAATGAGGGCAGAGATACCACTATATTAATTTTTGAAAAAAATATTACAATACAATTGATAATTATATGTGCGCGTCAAGTTGGGTAAACTTTTTTTAGCTGAAATCACTTATAAAAAAAACATCCAGTATATAGAAGCCTCCCCTAACACAAAATCATAAAAATTTCGCTGTAGAAATGCATCATTCTCTCTTTTCCGACTTTAGAATAACTGAAATCAGTTACATGAAAACATGTTCCTGCTTTACATTTACTACAACTTTCAACTTTCTCAGCACTTTTCGAAACAAAAACTAGTGAAGAGTGAGAGAAAAAAAGCAGGTAAGTCAACATTTTTGCTATATTTAAATATTCGGTGCACTCGGTTCAGATCGGTGACTGTAAGCCTCTTTAAGCCGGGACCCCATTAGGCCATATGCTACGCTACGCCACGCCATGCCACCCCACGTTATGAAGATCTGTGTGTTTGTTTTTCTATTTAATTACATGTGTTGCGTACACACTAGGGCTCACGCCACCTCACGCCACGCTATCACACACGTGTGATGGGCGATTTGTCTGTCCCAGATCTCATGTGTACACTGTACATTCCTTCCCACGTGGCAACATGTAGGCTCAAGTGGCGTGGCGTGGCGTGGTGTATGGTCTAATGGGATCCCGGCATTAGAAGCTGCTAAACTGGAAAAAAGCAACCTAGTCAGAAGACATATTATAGCGTCAAAGTTATTATAAAGCAATACTATTTTTGTAACTTTTTGAACATTAAGTTAACTATCTCAGTTCGGCATGAAATTGACTTACCTGCTTTTTCCCCTGACACTTCACATGAAAACTTTTCTGTGGAAATACGTCATTTTTATAAAATAGTGTTAACTTTAGAATAACTGAAATCATGCAGTTACAAGAAAACATGTTTGTGCTTTAGATTCTAAACACCTTTATTGTGTATGTATGAAATTAACCTAGTAGATACTGTAATTTAGACATCAATACCGTACCGAGAAAACACGAAAATAAACGAAACCAAACCAACAAACGAAACCAAACCAAAACAAACCAAAGCAATCAAAACACGCTGTAAGCTAAAAAAAAATTCTAGAATGAAAAACAGAAACATGTTTTCATGTAACTGGTTTCATCTATTCTAAAGTTGAAAAACTGAAATTTTCGTCACTTTCTATTCAGAAAGGCTTTCACATCACTAAATAAACAAAAATATTTCTTAGATAATTAATTTCAGCTAAACTAAAGTAGTCCTGACTTCAGCAATTTCAACAATTGTGACACTATTCAAAAAGGCTTCCAAATACTTGTTAATCACAAGTATGCAGTTAAATTATCACAATGCCACCCTCTCAGACTCAGTCCGACTCTGATAAGCATCAATAAATAATTTGTAGCTTAAGAATTTCAAGAGAACTGTTGTGTATTTTTTTCAAAAAAATTTGGTTTATTTTTAACACCAAATTTAGAGTAAAAAAAATTATGTGCCATTTTTTATATTTTGATGTTTTAATAAAGAGATATGCCATTCATATTGTTTGTTTAATCTATTACCTCAAATTAGTAGACCCTGTATAAGTGAATACATTGAAAAAAAAAGGATGGCCAGCATTCAGGTCATCATGTGCGAAGGTATCCATATTTTTGAACGGGGGAAAGTAACACGGCGTGGAGATGGCGAGCCACTTATATAAGAACTTAACTAAACTGCCTACGCGCAATATAATCACTCGGTGTGTTGTTTTTGTTGGGCAGACTTAAAAAAGGTAAGTGCGCATTAGTGAAAGTGATTTATTGCCAAAAAAGCACTTTTTGCGAGGACTATGATGTGTTTCCAAAACTAATTCGACCTCGTTTTTATTTGCATTCATAGTTTTAAGTATTTGCACTCTCTCAAAACAAGTTTGTTAAAATTTTATGTAAATATACGGAATTTTATGACGTGTTTACGACATATCAATGCAATAGAATAATAAACGTGTAATGAATAATATTTTTTGGTTTTTAGGAATAAAAATGAAAGTTGTTTTGGTTACATTGGCAGTTATCGCTGTAGCTGCAGCTTACCCTCAAAAAGAAGGCGGTGCCTACACTAACGAAGCCATCAGACAAGCCCAGCAAACTTTCTTGATTCCCAAAGATGCCCAAATTCAAAAAGTAAACAGTTTATATTAGTGTAATCCACAGGGAGTATTCCCAATTTTTTTCAAAATCTACACTGCATGTTATGTCATAAATTGTAATTTGTGGTTATGTGTTAAAAGTTTTTATGAATTTTTATTTAGTTAAAAAGCTGTTGAATGTTTTAGGTTAAATACCATTAGAATTAACAAATTTTACAGTAGATTCTTCTTTACTGCTTCATTTTTTGCTCTGTAATCACAAATTTAGCTGTTAACAATTAGCAGTACCTATACTTACTTTAATTTTAGGTACAAGAAGGTATTGAAATTGGAGCTTACGAGAGCATACCCGGCGACCAGAAGATCAATCTATTCGAAATTCTTGGCGATCAATTTCCTCCAGAAGTAGTCAACAACCTTCAGGGCCAAATTGACCAAGTAGGGAAAAACTGAACCTGAAAAGTTGTACAACACAAAATGTTCTTTCGCTGTGATCATATTCCTTCTCTTTACCTCTGTATCTTTATTATCAGTGTCACCTAAACATTCCTTTATTTCTTAATGATCAAACTATCTAGGTTTTCTTTTAACCTGGGCTACTTACTTGAAATGACCTCTACTTTCACATGTCGTGTGTATAGTGGATATTTTTTGAATGTACATAAATTTCGTCATGTTTTATTTCCAACTGTCTCGGTTGTGCTTATCTGCAATCCTGTAATTTTCATTGCACTTTTCTTTTATAAAAATGTCATGACCTGTTGATATTCTTCCTCAAATTGTGCCAACTATCAATGTCTTCAAATTTAGACTTATCTTTTGTAGATGTATTGTAAATAAACCTATTTTTTTAAATATTTGTTTTGGTTTTATTTCTTCAGCATTGAGTATTTTTTAAAATCACAAAGAAATTACTGTCAAAATTTAAAAATAAGAAAGTTGTAAAAACAAAATAGTTTGAACTGTTTTCAGCATCACACAACCTTCCTTATAAAGATTTCAGAGAAAGTGACATAGGTTATTATACTTCCTTGCCTGAAAATGCCAAATATAAATACAGAACCCCATCATTTAACATAAACTTTCACCTTTCGGCGTCTATGTATGTCCAAATGTGAGTACATAATTGTTGCAATAATTGTATTGTTTGTATACCAAATTGAAACATGACCTTAAAAACATAGTTTTTTCTATTGACTTAATTTTCTATTGTACATAATTTTCTAATAATAAATTTTAACAAAGAGTTAAAGCATAAATTAAATTTTATAGTTAAAGGAACATTCCTTATATTTCACTAACGAATATAAATATAAAATGTGTTCATATTATATCATTTATATTTGGTATAAGTACTGTATGAACATTAATATAATTAATCTAATTTTTAGATTAATTTGAGTATATTCTCCATTTTAAGTGTATTTTAATATTTATAAGAAAAACGGGGGAAGGTAGTAATCTTATAATGTACATACAGTGGGTATACATTATAAGAACATTGAGATGAGAAGATTATCCTCCTAGATAAGGTACCTATTACAGATGTATAGGTACCTACCTAATCATGATAATAATTATAATACAGCTTTTACAACTTTTAAATTCGTTTTCACAAGCGAAGGCAGGCAACTCGTTAAACAGACTATACTAACGTCACCTATTTAGTTCCAAAGATACAATAAAATTACAAAAGTTTTCATTACGCTACTAGATGGCAGCACATTTTGTATAAAATATATTTAGGAAAGGTCTCTTGGTAAAAATCGCTACGACTAATCGTTCTAATATTAGCAATATAAATATAAATTATCAGTTCAGACAACATATGGGTCATTATTAATAAAAAATAAGCATGGTGACCATATTTGACTGAAATGATAACTGGGAACATTTTATATTTTTAAATTAATTATAATTTTTTCTAGGAAAAACTCTTATGTAAGTTTCCGTTCTAACTTTTGGCACAAAAATATTTCAGATTTAGGATATCATTCTAATATAACTATAATCTAGTCAGCATATTCAATTTTTGTTAATATATATACCGGGTGCGTCTCAAAAATGGCTCATCTTTATAACTTTTTATTTTTTCAGATAATAAAACGAGATTTGGCATATTAGTAAACGAGATTTGGTATATTAGCAAACGAGATTTGGTATAGTATATAACATAAATTAAGACTGATTGACGTATTCAATTATTTTCAGTCACTTCCTGTTTCGCCGAAAATGACTACAACTTTTTGGATAGAAAATGACACTCCGAGTATAAATCACAACATATCATTGTCAACTTTTGACATTCTCGCTTAAAAAAAATCGTATTTTAAAGTTCAATCTAGAGTGCCATGGATGGGTTAAAAACACTCATTTTTAATCAAGGGGCCTGCGCTTGGAAAAATGGATTTGATCGTCTAATGTTTTTCATGTCCTGTCCTGGCCGGTTAAAAGATGCCCAAATCATATTTTTAATCTTATCTCAATTTTGTCAAATGAAACCAGGTGGTTCGTGAGCATATTCGAAAAAGGCATTTTTTACGAATAATTTGATAATTTGGTCCACGTCAGTTCAGAAATTATTTACAAAAAATCCAAATAAAACTGAAATTGCTACACCCTATCGTCGAAAAGAAGCATTACAGGACATAAATTGATACAAACTTTTTTACCACCTATATTTATCTGCAGACTATGCTGCCGAAATTACACGAATACAATTCGGACCACCCTGTATGATCACTAATATGTAGATAAACATTTGACTGACAAAGGACTACCATCAGTTATTTTCGGTTCTACTTCGAAAATCGGCATCGGCAAAATATTTCATCAAAATATCTTAAAATTATAAAGAAACAACTTTTTCAAATTTTTTAATATTTATTTTAGTTTCGACAAATATACCAAAAGGATAATGGGGGTAATTAGTAATTAGGTACCTCTAGCAGGAGGAAAATAATTTATGTGATATAATAATACCAATAAAAATAAAAGGCTCAACTTTCGTTTAGCTGAAATCTGTTATATAAAAAATGACTTTATATACTCGTATATGCGTTCCAGAAGGCGTTAGGAGTACAAATATACAAAAATTTTCCTGCGGAAATGTGTCATTTTCATTTTTCGGACTTTAGTATAGCCGAAATCTGTTACATCAAAACTAGTCTTCGGGGTGTGTTTTAGACTGTTTTAGACACTTTTCTAAACATAAAAACACAAAAAAGTGTCTGCGGAAATTTTTTATTTTTATTTTACATAAAAAAATGCTTTGACTTTAGAATAACTGAAATCAGTTACGTGAAAAATGAACTTATATTTGTTTTATACGAGTCTTTACGAACAAAGAAATACAAAAAAATTCCTGCCGAAATGTGTCAATGTCATTTTGTGCATTTTGTTTTTCATACATTTTTCAATTTAGAAGCTTACGGGACCCGGGAGCGAATAGGGTGCTGGGTGGGGTAAAACATCTTTCGGAGGAATAACAATTCTTGTAGAATAGATAATATAGGTTCTTGTAAACTATAAGTACCTCGGAATGTTGCACTTATTCTTGTTTTTTATTAAAGCTTTACGTAAATAGGGCTGATTCAAAACAAAAAATCATTGGATCATGCAGTTTTATTTTATATTTTAACAATTAACTGTGATTATGCAAAAATATTAGATTGGTTAGCATTTGGGCTGCTTTGGTTAGCTTTTCTTTGTGGAGGGTGTTAAGCTGTGGTTTTTATATTTTAATAATTAACTGTGATTTTGCAAAAATATTATTAGATTGGTTAGGATTTGGGTTGCTTTGGTTAGCTTTTCTTTGTGGAGGGTGTTAAGCTGTGGTTTTCATATTTGAATAATTAACTGTGATTTTATAAAAAATATTATTAGATTTATTATTAGATTGGTTGGCATTTTAGACACTTTTAAATGATTTCTTTTTGGTTCAAAAGTGATGGATACAGTTTATTTCCGCAGGAAATTTGTTATTTTCCTCAATTCGTGAATGCTTCTAAAAGGCAAAAATATATTTATTTTTTTATATAACTGATTTCAGCTTATTTCCGTAGGAAAATTTTTGTGTTTATATGTTCAGAAAAATATTAAAAATAAACCGCAAAATGTATTTTTTTTTATAGCAGATTTCAGTTATTCTAAAGTTCAAAATTTGGTAATTACGCATTCCGACAGGAAAATTTGTGTTTTCCGTGGTTCACAGTAGCTTTTTAAAGACAATTTTTTTTGTAGTAACTGATTTCAGCTAAACGAAAGTTGACCCAAATAAAATCCAATGCCAGTCCAAGTTTTTTTTCCACAGTCACAATACTTATCAATGTAAATTTTCAAAATTATATTTGACAGGTTAATGTTGACCGCTTTAACTCAAATCTTTACACCGCGAAAATTCACAAGAATCAGCGGCGTGCGTCAATAAGTAACTGCAATTAACATGTTACAAACACAATGAAGTTTTTTTTCTGAGTCTTTAATAACTTTGAAGTTACAAAATAGAATGTACAAAAAATGTAGCAGGTAAAAAAAATCAAAACAATTTAAAAAAAGAACTAAATTTAGGTGTAAAAAACAAAGCTGTGAACGCATCAGTTAGATAAAACATTGCTTTACAACCACATAATCGGTGTTCACTTTTATGAACATTTTCACTAAAATGACGAATACAGGATTTTATATTAATATTCGAAATATGCTTTGGAGGTCCTTATTCAATAGATTTTTAAATTTTTCACACTCAGAATCGGTCATCGCGACGTGCTACGATATTTTTTATTTTATACTACGAACGAGATGTGTTTAAAAAAATACATCACCCACCGTCTAAACAGCGAACGGGAGACGTAATCGCGCCCGGAAATGTATCTGTTTTTGGCGGCGCCGGCGTTCAAGATGTAACGAGGACAGTCGCATCATCAAGTTTCCGAGATATTTTTATTTTTAGCATTTAGCGTAGGTCTTAGCGTTATCTATAAAACTCGACCAATGCACACATAAATAATTGAAATTGAATTTAATTAATTGAATAATTTTACTGAGAGTTTTAGTTTATTATAGGAGACCTCAGTGACTTTTATTAAATAAAAACGTATTACAATATTTTGAAGGGATGCTACGCATCACCCGCATCAGTGGAAGCTTCGCCGCTGACAAGAATAGATAGGCATAAAGAAGAAACATGGAACCGTCCTTTTTGTACGTATTTTCTTCGCCTAAGCCATCATTTGCCTCTTCTGCATCATCGAGACGTTGTGTATATTCGCCCACAGTCCACTCATAGCCATCGGTAATTAGTATATTGAATCCGATCGAAAAATGTAAATAAAAAACGACAAAATCCAATCACAGCAATTCGCCAGAACTGGAAGCTTATTCTAACTTATTTCAATAGTCGATATTTAGCGTGATGGATTTCGATGGAAACTATTAATAATCGATCATCTTGAAATTTTTCGGAAAGACACGGTTCAAAATCAAATTCAGCCATATTTTTTAAATATATTTTTTTATTTTTCTCTAAAACGGTACGGAAATTTGGGAAAGTGTAAACGGGTTTAAACAACGGCGAGGCTTCCATTGCGGATGATGCATGGCATCCCTTCAAAATATTGTAATACGTTTTTATTTAAACAGGTCACTAAGATCTCCTATATTAAATTAAAATTCTCAGTAGATTTATTAAAATAATTAAATTCATTTTCGATTATTTAATGCGTGTATTAGTTGAGTTAGGTTTGTTCCAACCCGCGGCAGAACCGTCACCGAACGATCACGCTCGTGCGCAGTAATTCAAATGTGTTCCAACCGAGATTTGACGATTATCGGACGATCCTATTTGTGTACCAACCTA